GGTATTTTCAATAACCTCATATGCATGTGAAAGCTGGACAGTGAATAAGGGAAGACCGTAGAAGAATTGATGCTTTTGAGTTATGGTGTTGGAGAATATTAAAAGTGCCATGGGCTGCCAAAAGAACCAACAGACCCGTTTTGGAAGAAGTGCAGCCAGAGTGCTCCTTGGAGGTCAGGATGGCCAAACTTCATCTCTCATACTTCGGACATATTGTCAGTAGGAACAGTCACTGGAGAAGGTTATCATGTTTGGTAAGGTGGAGGGTCAGAGAAAGAGAGAAAGATCCCCAGCGAGGTGGATTAGCAAAGTGGCAGCATCAATGGGCTCAAATGTGGCAACAATTGTGAAGTTGGCCCAGGATCAGACAGTGTTTTGTTCTGTTGTGCATAGGGTCTCTGTGAGTCGGTACTGACTCAATGGCACCTAACAATAACAACAACAGAGTCCTGGTGTGGCACCGCAAGGATAAGCACACAACCTCAAGGTTGTTTTGAACTACAAGGTCAGTGGCTGAATCTCAACAGTTGCTCCTTGGAAACCCTATTCAGGGGTCGCTATGAGTCAGAACCGACTCAACATTTAACAACAGCACCTTTAATGAAGTTAATTATAAAATGATTCTATTGATATTCTTTCACTGTCAGTAAAAATAAGAAATATAAACTTAGTATCAACAAGTAAGAAAGACTCCTAACTGACTGAACAACATCATTCATACAATTATCATTAATGAAGGAAATCTGTAGTGGTATGCCGTAAAAATACATTGATATACCAGAGTTTCTTCAACAATTTGTTAATAATCTAGATGTAGTGCACTGATGGAATATTCATCAAATTTGTGAAAGACATAAAACGAGGAATAAAAGCTAAACTAATACATGACAAAAAAAAAAAAAGGGAGAGAAAAATCAACACATGAAGGATCCTCAACCCAAACTAAAATCATTGCCACCATGTCAATTCGGATTCACATCAAGTATATAGCATGGCACAGAACTGTCCCAAAGGGTTTCCAAGACTTCAAATTTTTATGGAAACAGACCATCACATCTGTCATATGGAGAGGCTGTTGGGTTTGAATCGCTGAATTTGTACGGATCTTTACCACTCTGTTACTAGGGCTTCTTGAAGGATCCCTAGAAGTGGATATAATAATGTGACCATAATTTTTACATTCTAGATATAAAAGCCTCACTGAACTGAGTCAGAATAGACAGATGCCTATTTCTACCACCAACACAGTGACAACACGTAGGTAACCTTTTTAGTCTATTTTAGCACGGAACTATAAAAGAGCAAGAAACCCTGGTGGAGCTCCATGGGTGAAAGATGTAGCAGTCTGCTATTGTAATGATTAACCCACTGCCACTGAGTCAATTCCAACTCAGAGCAACTTTATATAAAGGGTTCCCAAGGCTGCAGTCTGTACAGGAACAGAAAGCCTCATCTTTCTCTCACAGAATTACCAGTAGGTTTGAACTGCTGACTTTCTGGTTAGCAGACCCATCTTAGCCTACAGCACCACCAGGCCTTCTACTGTAAAGATTACAGTCTTGGAAACCCTGAGGTGCAGTTCTACTCTGTCTTAGTTGGTCATTATGGGTTGGAATTAACTCCATGGCAACAGGTCTGCTTTTAGTTTTATAAAAGTGTACGCAAATCTGAATTGAGCTAGATCTAGATTCAAATTCCAGGTCTGACACTTACCTAAAAGTAGGTACCTTCCCTTATCCTTTCTGTAGTAAACATGTGAAAACGACATATGGTATGAGTTAAGATTGCCTTATTCTTGTTAAGTGTTGTCAAGTCGTTTCTCACTCACAGTGATCCTGTACAGGGTTTTCAAGGAGTGGCTAGTGGATTTGAATCACTGACCCTATGGTTACCAGTCCAATGCTCATCAGCTGCTCCTCGGAAACCCTATACAGGGTGTCTGTGAGTTGGAACCAATTCGACAGACTTATCAACAATAACAATTAAGATGGTGGTGGTGGTGGTGGTTGTGTACCACAAGTTGATTCCAACTCAGAGCAACCTTGTATAGAGTTTCTGGGGCTATAAATCTTTACAGGAGTAGAAAGCCCGCTTGATCTTTCTCCTGAGAAGCGACTGACTGGTAGACTCGAACTGCTGATCATACAATTAGCAGCCCAGCTCGTAATCTACTCTGCTATCAAGGCTCCTTGTTAATTAAGGTAGTGACTGACTAAACCATTAACGAGGTATGGCACTTTGAAGAGTTTCTAATGCCACATGAGGTACAGTTAATGGAACAGAGGATATTTACTTTAGAGAAGGTAAGAAAGATTCCAGAAGGCCTTGATCTTGTTGCTGCGTGCTGTCAAGTCAGTTTCAATTCATGTTGTTGCTGCTAAGTGCAATCGAGTCGGGATATGACTCCTATCGACCCTGTAGAGGGTTTCCAAGGAGCAGCTGGTGAGTTGGAACTGCTGGCCTTAACGGCCCAAAATGACACTGCAGTTTACCGCATTAACCAGCAACACCACACCAGAAGTCCATTTCAATTCATAGTGACCCTGTAATAGGGTTTCCAAGAGCAGCTGGTAGGTTTGAACTGACTACCTTGTAGTTACCAGTCTAATTCTTATTCTACAATGCCACCCCAGAGCTCACCAAGCTAACCTGGTCCATATAAAGGGCCATCAAGTGGAAGAAGGTTCTATATGGTTCCAGAAAGCAAAACCAGGACCAACAACATAACTTGTAAGGTGATAAATATTCAACTTGAAAAAAATTTCTAAAACTTTCATTTGACTAAAATTAAATTGACAGAGGTACTAAAAGTTAGGACCTTGACAAAGAATTTACTACTTGTTTTCTGTGACTGGTGGAGTGGATAAGCATTCTCTCTCTCTGTGGATGTATGTGCACACACTGTGTGTGTGTACACATGAGTCCTGGTGTGGCACTACAGGATAATGCACTGGACTGCTAGGTCTGTTTGAAGGACAAGGACAACAGTTCAAACCGACCAGTCACTCTTCAGAAACCCTATACAGGGTCACTATGGGTCGGAACCGACTCAACAGCACTTAACAACAACAAATACGTATACATATACATATTTATTTGGAGTCCTGGTGTGGCGCTGAGGGTTAATGCACCAGACTACAAAGACATTTGAACTGAAAGGAGGGTGGTTTAAGCTCACTAACTGCTCCTCAGAACCCTATACAGGGTCACTATTGGTTGGAACTGACTTGATAGAACTTAACAACAACAATGTGTATATGTAGATAGGTAGATAGATAGTGTTTTGTGTATGTTATGCTCTGCAAAATGACATCTTGGCATTAGCGTAGTGGTTACGAATCGGGCTGCAAACCTTAAGGTCAGTGGTTCGAAACTACCAGCCGCTCCGCGGGAGAAAGATGAGGCTTTCTACTCCCGTAAGGATTTACACCCTCGGAAACCCTGTACAGGATCGCTATGGGTCTGAACCGACTCGACGGCACTTGACAACAACAACAGGAAAGGATAGCTTAGTGAACCCTAGCACTTATCAACAAAACCTGGCCATATTAGTTAGACCACATCCAGGAGACAGTGCTGCACAGAACAAAGGCTTTCAAGGCAGAAGATAGGATGTGAGTGAAGGTCTCAATACCTACTGTGAGACCACAGGTAAGTTACTTGACTTTTGTAAACTGTAGCTATCCCATCCGTAAAGTAGGGCTCATAAAGTTACTTTGTAGAATCACTGAAGATTAAAAATAAACTTAAGACATACAGAAGAGCAAGTGGCACACAGGAAACAAATTAGCATTTTTATACTTTAAAAGGAAGCAGGGGTTGGGAAGAGGAGAGGAACAGAGAGAGGAATATCTCTAGGTTTGAGAACAATAAAGTAGAAAATACTTAGTTTGCTCTTACAAAGTTTCTGGAACAGGACTAGAAGGGAGGTAGGTAACAAAATTCAAATATTGATTTGAAACAAAAATGCACACAGTCTCCAGGTTATGAACAAGATTTGTTCCTAAGTGTATGTTTAAGGTGAATTTTTTGGTAAGTCAGCACAAGTACACACAGTTATTATTATTAGCCTTCCTTTAGTGCAAAAAAAAGAAGTCTTTTCAATGATTTAAAAGCTGCAGTGCAGTAAGCAAAGGGGACTATGAAGAAGAATTTGTTGCAAGTAAAGGGACCAATTGCTGGAGAAGGATATCATGTCTGGTAAGGCTGAGGGTCAGAGAGAAAGAGGAAGACCCCCAAAGAGATGGATTTTGGCCAAGTGGCAGCATTGATGGACTCAAGTGTGGCAACAGTAGTGAGATTGGCCCAGGATCGGGCAGTGTTTCCTTCTGCTGTGTATATAAGGTCACTATGAGTCGGTACTGACTCCATTGCACCTAACAACAACAACAACAGGGGTAGGTTCAATTGTTTCAAAGTGTGGGCAAATTTACATATTTACATAGGTTAAGTATAAATTACCTATAAATTTGCAATTTGTAACCCAAGGACTTACATGCATGTCAATAGTTCTCTTTTATAATAAACCATGTTGTTGGTAAATACCTTCCAGTTGGTTCCAACTCATAACAACTGTGTATAAGGTTTCTGAGTTTTTTAAAAAAATGTTTGTGGTAGCAGAAAGTCTCATTTTTTTACCACAGAGTGGCTGTTGGGCTCGAACCTCCAACCTTGTGGTTCACAGTGTAGTGCTTATCCTATGGAACCACTGCACTCTCAGGTAAACCATTACAGAGTTTTAAATTAAAGTACTCTAATATTTTCTATATATATTCATATATTAGTTGAAGAGATTCATTCTTCATATATATTCATTCCCCAAATACAAAACAAAATATAGTGTTTTTGTTTCCATCTTTTACTGCAGAACTTTGCAAATTTTAAATGTGAAATTCTTAACTTATCTCTACAGGTTGGACAGCTAAAGTAAAATAAAGAGAAAAGTTATAAACAACAAAAAACCCTTAAGTTTTCTGAAGTAATTTGGGAAAAATACTTACTCAATTCTCTGTTGCAGTTGTTTAGAAAGCTTTTTATTTTCTTCCTGTAGAGTATTCTTTTCATTCACTTAAATATGAAAAAGAAGAAACATAATAAATGTGTGCTCAGAAGACACATAGTACAGTTATATTAACATCTATCAGAAACAATTTTGATAAAATATTCAAAGATTATGAAGAATTAGGATTTCTAATTCTGTTTTATTGCTGTTGTTGGGTTGTTAGGTGCCATCAAGTTGGTATCAATCCACAGCGACCTTATGCACAGCAGAATGAAACACTGCCCCATCCTGGGCCAAGCTCACTACAGTTGCTATGCTTGAGTCCATCGATGCTGCCACTTGGCTAATTCATCTCGTTGGGGGTCTTCCTCTTTTTCTCTGACCCTCAGCCTTACCAAACATGATATCCTTCTCCAGCGACTGGTCTCTCCTGACAATATGTCCGAAGTATGAGAGACGAAGTTTGGCCATCTTGGCCTCTAAGGAGCACTCTGGCTGCACTTCTTCCAAAATAGATTTATTGGTTCTTTTGGCAGCCCATGGCACTTTCAATATTCTCCTCCAACACCATAACTCAAAAGCGTCAATTCTTCTATGGGTCTTCCTTATTCACTGGCCAGCTTTTGCATGTATATAAGGTTATTGAAAACACTATGGCTTGGATCAGGTGCACCTTAGTCCTCAAGCTGACATCTTTGCTCTTCAACATTTTCAAAAGGTCTTGTGCAGCAGATTTGCCTAATGCAATACATCATTTGATTTCTTGACTGCTGCTTCTATGAGTGTTGATAGTTGATCCAAGAAGAATGAAGTCCTTGACAACTTCAATCTTTTTTCTCAGTTGATAAGAATGTTGTTTATTGGTCCAGTGGTGAGGATTTTTGTTTTCTGTTATATTAGTCAGGGTTAACGCTTCTGAGCAAAACAATTTGTAATTAGTACGTGATCGTTGTTGTTAGTTGCTGTTGTGTTGATTATAACATGTGCAAAGTATGTACTAAGTAAAACTGATACGCAGAGTTTTCAAGGCTGTGACCTTTATGAAGCAGATGTCCAGATCTTACTTCTGAGGTGACTCTGGGTGGGTTTGAATCACTAACTTGTACATAGTCATCCAATGTTTAACCAACTGAGCCATTCAGGGACTCTGAAGTAGTGATTTGTTGTTGTTGTTGTTAAGTGCCATCAAGTTGGTTCAAAAACTCAATGACGCTGTATAGGGTTTCTGAGGAGCAGCTGATGGGCTTGAACTGCCACCTTGGGTTTCAAACCGACCTGTGGTTCAGTACTTAGGCTACAGTTACACCAGTTCCTACCATGTTGTCCTTGCTAAGTGCTGTTGACTTGGGTCCCTCTCATAGCAACCCTATATAGTTTCCAAGATGTGAATTTTAATGAATTTGAATTTGGACGGCCTACTTAGTGGTTCATACATGCCCAATTCTTGGTGGTAGTCAGATGGTATCTGTCTGCTGGCTTGATTCCTTGAAAGACAAAAGGTGATGCAGGCTACACCCCTGGGAAACTTCCTTTGAATCTGGGCTAGGATTGAGTAAGGAGGGTATTACATCCCACTGTAATCCTGCCTCATTAACATAGTAAAGAATCTTCTTTAACATACTTCTGGTGTGGTGTGGTGTGGTGTGGTGCAGTAGTATCAGCTCTGGATTGTGAACACAAGGTCTACCAACCCATGAGCTGTTCCTTGGAAACCCTATACATGGTTGGTATGAGTGGGAACACACTGGAAGGTGCTTCACAACAACAATCCTGCTTCATTAACACACAAAAGGAAAAGCCAAGCCCACTGCCATCCAGTAGGTCCTTCATGGTGGTTATGTGCCACCAAGTTGGTTTCCACTCACAGCTATCCTATATAGGGTTCCCGAGGCTGTATGTATTTAAGGGAGCAAGAGATAAATTCGAACTACTAACCTTGAGCATTTGAGAGGCTGCGGCACTGCAGGATAACCCATTAGTCGATGAATTGCAAGGCTGGCAGTTTAAAATCACCAGCCCTCCTTGGAAACCCTATATAGTGTCACTGTGAGTCAGTCTGAACCAATTCGACAGCACTTCACAATGACAAAAAAATCTTTATCAGAGTACAAAGCCTCATTTTTCTTCCACAGAGAGGCTGGTATCTTGAAACTAGTGACCTTTTGATTAGCAGCCCAGCTCTTAATCCACTAAGCAATCAGGGTTCCTTACATTAACATGCTAAAGGAAAGATAATTCTGTGATCCACTCAATGTTGTTAGGTGACAGTGAGTGGGCTCAGACTCATAGATAACAATCCTATACATAACAGAAGGAAACACTTCTCAGTCCCACACCATCCTCACAATCATTGTTACTCTTCAGCCCACTGCTGCTGCCATGGTGCCAATCCATCTAGTTGAGGGTCTTCCTTTTTATCGCTGTCCCTCTACTTTACCTAGCAACAAATCCTTCTCAAGGGGCTGGTCCTTCCTGATCACATGTCCAAAGTATAAGACATGAGGTCTCACCATCCTGGTTTCTAAGGAGCACTTTCACTGTACTTCTTCCAATACAGATCTGTTCTTTAGCAGTCCATGATATGTTTAATATTCTTCTCCAACACCAAACTCAAATGCATCAATTCTTCTATGGTCTTCCTTATTCATTGTCAACTTTGACATGCATATGACGCTACTGAAAATACCATGGCTTGAGCTAGGCACACCTTAGCCCTCAAACTGTATTTTTTTCTCTTGAACATTTTAAAGAGGCCTTGTGCAGCAGATTTGCCTAATGCAATGTATCATTTGATTTCTTGACTTCTGCTATGAATGTTCAGAGTGGATCTAAGAAAAATTAAGTCTTTGACAATTTCATCTTTTCTCCTTTTACTATGTTATTTATTGGTCCAGTGATGAGAATTTTTGTTTTCTTTACATTGAGGTGCAACTCATACAGAAGGCTGTCTGTTGTTTTTGAACAAGCAATGTTGTATCAACTGCATATTGCAGGTTGGTAATGAGATTTCTTCCAACACTGATGTCACATTCTTCATATAATCCAGCTTCTTGTGTCAAGGACAAGTTAGGAAACCTGGGGCTCTCGGCCTCTCTTACCCTGGCTTCCCCTGAAAGGGTGAAGGACATCTCTAGTCCTACAAGAAGAATAGCATTGACAAGAATAGCCTGGAGACAGAGATAAGGATCTCAGAACCTGAAATCCTGATAGAAGTAGCTGGTCACAGGCAGACGACCCATAAAGATAGCACCTAAATCTGACAACTGAAGAAAGCGCCCCATTTCCAAGAAGCCTTTGCCCTTTCACTAAAAAACAAAGAAACAAAAAAACATGAATATTCAACATACCAATCCTAATTAATATGTATTAGCGCACCCCACGAGGAAAAGACCCCATACCTTTACAAGCCAGTGCACCCCATCCCCAAAACTTATCCTCTTGTGGAGACAGACCCACTTCTCCCTTTGAAGTGCACTTTTGCTTTGACCTAACCTAATCTAAAGGAGCTCTGGTAGTGTAGTGGTTACGAATCAGGCTGCTAAACTCACGGTCAGCAGTTCTAAACTACCTGTTGTTCCGCGGGAGAAAGGTAAGGCTTTCTGCTCCTGTAAAGATTTACAGCCTCAGAAACCCTGTGCAGGGTCACTGTTGAGTTGGAACTGACTCCACGGTACTTAACAACAACAATCTAATCTATGCTCTTTACTGCTACCAGGTCTACTCCATTCGTGGAGAAAGACCCGCTTCTCTCTCTGAAGCATACTTTAGCTTTGCAATAAAGAGATTCTAAATGAATGCTTATTGTTTGTGTGTGACAAAGTAGCGGCAACTCAGTGGGACTAATTCTTTAGACCCCTGAGAGCAAAAGGGACTAGGGAAAAACGTGACACTTGGATTATGTGCTCAGCAGACAGACTTAGTGAAGGAATACAACCCTGGCACACACCTTTCCTGATTTTAACCCATTCAGCGTCCTTTTGTTCTGTTTCAACAACTGCCTCTTGTCCTATGTACAGCTTCCTCATGAGCAAAATTATGTGTTTCAGAACAGTCGTTCTCCACAATGTTGTCCATAGCTTGTCATGATCCACACAGTCTAAAAGCCTTTGCACAGGTAAATATCTTTCTGGTAGTCTCTGCTTTCAGCCCAAATCCATCTCATGTCAGCAATGGTATCTCTTGATCCACGTCATCTGAATCCAGCTTCAGTTCCCTGTCAATGTATGGTTGCAGTCGTTTTAAAATTACCGTTAGCTAAATTTTACTTGCATGCACTATTAATGATATTGTCTGATAACATTAGGTTACCTCTCCTTGGAATGGGCACAAACATGGATCTCTTCTAATTAGCTGGCCAGTAAGCCATTTTCCAAATTTCTTGGCATAGATGAGTGAGTGCCTCCAGTGCTGCATCAGTTTGTTAAAATATTTCTATTTGTATTCCATCAATTCCTGAAGTCCTGTTTTGCCAATATCTTTAGTGCACTATGGACTTCTTTCAGTCTCATTGGCTCTTGGTCATATGCTATCTCATGAAATGGTTGAACTTTGACCATTTCATTTTCCTATACATTTCTTTTTGGTACAGTTACTCTGTGTTCCTTCCATCTTCTTTTGATGGTTTCTGCATCATTCAATATTTTGCCCATAGAATCCTTCAATAGTGCAAGTCAAGGCTTGAATTTTTTTTTTTCAGTTCTTTCAGCTTGAGAAATGCTGAGTGTGTTCTTCCCTTTTGGTTTTCTAACTCCAGGTCTTTGCAAAATTTCATTGCGATAGTTGACTATGTCTTCTCGAGCTGCCCTTTTAAGTTTTCTGTTCAGCTCTTTTACCTCTTCATTTCTTCCATTTTCTTTAACATCTCTATGTTGGAGAGAAAGTTTCAAGAATCTTTCCTGACATCCATTTTGATCTTTTCCTTCTTTCTGTACTCTTAATGACATTTTGTTTTCTTCCTGGGTGATGTTCTTGATGGCATCCCAGTCTTCTGGTCTTCAGTCATTAGTGTCTTATGTACCAAATCTGTTCTTGAGATGATATCTAAATTCAGGTGGGATATGTTCAA